CTCATACACATACCTCATACACGTACCTCATACACGTACCTCTCACACGTACCTCATACACGTACCTCATACACATACGTCATACAGATACCTCATACACGTACCTCACACACATACCTCATACGAACACCTCATACACATACCTCATACACGTACCTCATACACGTACCTCATACACACACCTCATACACATACCTCATACACATACCTCATACATACCTCACACACGTACCTCACACACATACCTCATACACCTACCTCACACACGTACCTCACACACGTACCTCATACACGTACCTCATACACGTACCTCATACACCTACCTCACACACGTACCTCACACACATACCTCATACACGTACCTCACACACATACCTCATACACATACCTCATACACCTACCTCATACACCTACCTCACACACGTACCTCACACACATACCTCATACACATACCTCACACACATACCTCACACACATACCTCACACACATACCTCACACACGTACCTCATACACATACCTCGGTCCCTCCCCAGGTGAGCTACATGGAGATCTATTGTGAGCGCGTGAGGGATCTCCTCAGCCCCAAAAGCCGCGGGAACCTGCGTGTGCGGGAGCACCCCATCATGGGGCCCTACGTGGAGGGCCTCTCCAAGCTGGCCGTCACGTCCTTCGAAGACATCGCCGACCTCATGGACTGCGGCAATAAAGCCAGGTGAGGCCCTGCCGGTGGTGGGGGTGATGGGGGCGGCTGGGGGGGTGTGTCTTGGTCCTGGGGTAAGGTGGGCCCACTTTTCCAGCTGGGGGTGTCCTGGCTTGGGACCCCCCCTCCCTCCCGCAGCATACGTGCCCAGCCTCTAGCTAAGTCTCTAGCTAGATTTTCAAAGCTTAAAAGGTTTGTTAGGAGTGAACATGCCGGTGCTACCTGGGTGCAGCCGACTCCGAGGTGCGATGACCTGGAGTGTCACACAACCGTAACAAAATCCAAAATGTCAATCGATGTCCTTTAATGCCTCCAACTTGACCCTAGTCCTCAGTCCGTTGGAGAGAAAACAAACTCAAAAATAGCCTTCAAAAGAAAGCGATACAATCCGAACTGAATGAGCGGATCAGAGGGGAAAGAACAAACCAAAACAAACTACGATGAAAGGAGAAGTAATGACCAACTTTAAGGAGATAACAAGGCACAGTCTGTCGGAAGGATGCTAACCAAGATCACTTCAGCCCAAAATAAAACAAGCTTTGCTTCTGGCAATGCTGTGTTCTAACCGTCTCTCTTATATACTAGTCTCCCCGGCTGCAGGGGGATCAGGGCTGCTTCCTCTCTCGCAAGCCAAGTTGCTCCCTTCTCCGTTTCCTGCGTGTCCTATGGGCCTGGTTCTTCCTCTTGACTGCCCAGCCGGCTTCTGCCCTTCCCCAACCTCCGAAGCCACACCTCCACTCCCTGTCGGCTGTACCTCCTCTCTCTCAGAGTCCGACTCGACCAAGGGCATGACATGAGGCACATCCTTCATTGTCACCCTTGACCCTGGTTTCCTCCCCACACACCCCCACACACCCACCTGCTGGGTGTATCCTAATTCGTATTCTCCAATGGGACATGTCCATAGCCCAGAGTCATCCATCCTATTCTCCAATTAAGAGTTTTGCGCGGCGGAAACTTCGCTCGCCTGGTTAACTATCTGTGAAAATAAGTTTCTGCTGGCAACTCTAAAAAGACCAGAGAAATATTTTGACGAGTTGACACCCAGGCCTGTACGGGATGGGGGGAGGGGCTGCTTCCAAGGGCCGAGCGTGTGGGAGTCCCGGATTGGGACCGAGCGACGGGGATTCCCGAATCAGCGGCCGTTGCGGGAAAGAAACTCAACACGCACCCCCTCACGCACCCCCTGACCTGCCCTCCCAGGACTGTGGCTGCGACCAACATGAACGAAACCAGCAGCCGCTCCCACGCCGTCTTCACCATCGTCTTCACCCAGCGCCGGCACGACGAACTCACCGACTTGGACGCCGAGAAGGTAGGAGGTTGCTGTGTGGGGGAGGGGGGTCCCCCATGAGGGACCCTCCTGGAGGAGTGTGGAAGATCGCCCCCTTTGAGACCCTCGAAGTGGGAGGGGGGCGTTTCTAGTTTGCGTGCTCCCCGACCCAACCCATGTGGCCTTCCCTCATGGGGGCTCTGGTAGGAAGGAGGGGCCTGTGGCTGCATCAGTTTGGGGGCCCTGAAGAGAGGCACCCCTCCTCATCCCGTGCCCTCCCCCTCCCCTCCCCCCCCCAGGTGAGCAAGATCAGCTTGGTGGACCTGGCGGGCAGCGAGCGAGCGGACTCGTCGGGTGCGAAGGGCACAAGGCTCAAGGCAAGATATGCGGAGTTGGGCCTCTCGGGCGCGGGGGAGTGGGCAGCGCGAGCCCTGTCACTTCTTCACATCCCGCAGGGCTTAAGTGGGGGCTAATCTCCTCCTCTTCCTCCTAGGAAGGAGCCAACATCAACAAGTCCTTGACCACCTTGGGCAAGGTCATCTCCGCCTTGGCCGAGATGGTGAGCCTCCGGTCCAGGGGGGGACGCAGAGATCGTGGGGGGAGGGGAGGGGAGAGGATGGGGGAGCAAGAGGTGAGACGAGGCCTTTGGATGCTCGGCGGGACACATTGGGGTTCTGGGAGGGTGTTCCCCCTTTCCTTCTCCCCTCCCCCCTGGCTCACTTCCCCTCCTGCCTTCCCAGCAAAGCAACCACAAGAGGAAGAAGTCGGAATTCATCCCCTATCGGGATTCGGTCCTCACCTGGCTGTTGAAGGAGAACTTGGGTGAGTGGTTTAGCAACACCTTTCTCTCCCCCTCCCCCCCAAACTCCGCCAGAAGTCGAGTCTTGGAGACCCGGCGAGGCCGCATCCCGCTCCAAGAGGCTACGCCGGCGCGACGAGTCTCCCAAAGACGCCTTTCTGGCGGCGTTTTGGGGGGGAAGAGAAAGGAAGACTTTGGCGGCTCCTGCTGCTTTCCTTGCACGCAGCCAAAAAGTCTCTCCCCTCTCTCTCCAATCGAGAACGATCGATAGGTAGGAAGACAGGGCGGGACATTTTCCCGCAGACTTTTTTTTTGGGGGGGTGGGGAGGGGATTTTCCCAGGGTCTCGGGACTGCGGGATTTAAAATGATGAGTTGGGTGGTCCCTGAGGTCCCAAAAGGTTGGCGACCCCTGCCCTAGACCATCCGTAAACCAACCCGCTCCCCCTCTCTCTCGGGTGAAACCGAACCGCTCCAGATTCTCCGCGCTCCAAAGGCTTCAGCAAGAAGCACCAAGTGTGCTTGTGAAGGGTTGACGGGCAGAGGGTCTTCTGGGGGTGGGGAGAGAGAGAGAGGGAAGGCAGCGGGGTCTCTTCCTCTCCGCTTTCTCCCTTTCCCAGGGGGAAACTCCCGCACGGCCATGATCGCCGCCCTCAGCCCAGCCGACATCAACTATGAGGAGACGCTCAGCACCCTCCGGTGAGCGGGAAGGAGGAGCCAGGGGAGGGGGAGAGGGCCTCCCCTCGTGGCCAAGGCTGGGCCCTCCCCACTAGCCCCCCTCCCCCATCTCAGGGCTCGTCTCCTCCTCCCCTAGTTACGCCGACCGCGCCAAGCAGATCCGCTGCAACGCCATCATCAACGAGGACCCCAACGCCCGGCTCATCCGGGAGCTGAAGGAGGAGGTGGCCAGGCTGCGGGACTTGCTCTCCGTCCAGGGGCTCTCGGGCGCCTGCTTCTCGGGTAGGGGGACTCTGGTAGGGAGCCACGCGAGTGTTTGGGCAGAAGCCCAGAGACCGCATCCCAGCGCTCGGCTTGTGTCTTCGCAGGATCCGAGCCAGCCGATCCCGGCGGTGGGCAGAGAATGGCCGGCACGCCCTTTGCCTCGATGGCCCCCTCCTCCCTCCTGCTGGAGCCCGTGGCCCTCAACGGGGAGATGGAGCTCCACCTGCCGGCCTCAGAGGAGCAGCTTCTGTGCACTGAGGAGGCCATGGAGAGGCTGCAGGTGAGGGGAGGAAGCGCCGATTTCCCTCTCGGGCGCATCCACCCTGGCAGGAAGGGGTGCCTGGCTTCTGACATCAGGGACCCTCCGGTCTCCGTCCTCCTTAGGGGCCCTTTCCCAGCAGATGGACTCTGCAGGGGCCACCCCCAGGCTCCCTGGCATCCAAAGATCACCCCGGCCTCCACAGCCGCAGCACGAGGTTCCCTCTCATCCTCCGGGGCGATAACAATGGCAGCCGCTGTGGCTCCGATCAGAGCTGCTTCACAGGCCCCTGAGCGTGCCTGAGTGGCCTCTGTTAGGATATGTGCAGAGTATAAAAAGACTATGCACACGGACAACAGTTTACGAGAACAGAAGAAATATACAGCCACACAGCGCTGAACGAGTTGTCTTCATGTTTACTTGAAGAAATAGCACAGTCCAATCAACAGTCCATGTCCTACACGTTTTTAACAGTCCAGAAATATCCACTTATAAAGTCTTCTTACATCTAGTTAGAAAGTCTCCTTATCACAATACAAGAATCTTCGACATCAACAGAATATCAAAATAAAGAGGGTTAGTCAGAATTGGTCCATAGTCAGTCAGTATCGGTATCAAGAGAGATCATCAGTGAAAAAGAGAAAAAGAGAAAGAGAATTAAACCATGATCTATAGCTCCCTCTTGTGGCCACTTGTCTTCTTCACCGGTTTCAAGTCTTTTACAGCAGACAAATATCAAACCATAATACAACAGATAAACTTGGATAACAACAGAATATCCAAATAAACAGAGTTAGTTAGTCAGTATCGGTCTGTAGTCAGTATCGGTATCAAGAGAGATCATCAGTGAAAAAGAGAAAAAGAAAAAGAGAATTAAACCATGATCTATAGCTCCCTCTTGTGGCCACTTGTAGCATAATTAACCAACCAGAACACAGCATAATACATTACGGTATTTTTCCTTAAAGCTACAAACGTATATATTTGTAGTTTATATATAGTCAGCCCATATACGTAACGTAGTTATTTATAGTTTATTTATATTTAAATAACGACGTTATTTACAGATACATAACAGCCTCCTCCCTCCCCTCCCCTCCCCTTGTAGGAGACCGAGAGGATCATTGCGGAGCTGAATGAAACCTGGGAGGAAAAACTGCGGAAAACGGAGGCCATGCGGATGGAGAGGTGAGGCCAGGTGTTCCCCCTCCCCCCGCCATCCCTGGTGACCCTGGAGGGTCTGCTCAGTGGGCTGCATGTTTGTTTGCGGCTTCTCTCTGGGGAGGGGGGTGAGGATAAAGGCCGAGAGGAGAGCCCTCAGGAGGGACCGGAGCTGCCATTGTCCGGCTGGGCATCGTTGGGGATGCCTCGGAGAAGTGCTCAGGCAGGGAGACTCGGCTGGTCATGTCCCCACCCCCTTGTGGGAGAAGCTGCCAGGCGCCGGGCTCCGATGAGTTGTGGTGCTCCTGGGACGCAGCACCTGAGGGTTTTGGGGGGGGGTTGCCGCTTCCCCAGCGATGGTTTCGGTGCTCATGCAACCAGACCGCGAGCCGTGACCACCGTGGTGCGCCAGGCGGATGGTCTTGAGGCTCCGCCAGTTGTGGGTCAGGGGGGTCTGAGCGACGGCGGTCTCTGGTCTTCGTTGCAGAGAAGCTCTCCTGGCAGAAATGGGCGTGGCTCTCCGAGAGGACGGGGGCACCGTTGGGGTCTTTTCCCCCAAGAAGGTAAGCGCCGGGGGCGAAGGGTGCGTCCGCTTAGACATGACTCCCTGGGAGTCCTCCCGACCTGCCCGAAAGGTGTTGGGTTGTGCACCCGCAAAGACAGCCTCCCACCCTGAAACCTGGGCCCACGGGAGCCCGCCCCTGCCGTCGGGTTTGGAGGCTGTACCCGCCCCCTCCCCCTGTTGATGCCCACACCTGCCCTCCGCAGACTCCCCACTTGGTAAACCTAAACGAAGACCCCCTGATGTCGGAGTGCCTCCTCTACCACCTGAAAAACGGCGTCACCAGGTGAGGGTGCTGCGCCCTTGGCCGGGAGGAGAGCCCGTCTTCCCTTTCCCGGCGGGCCTTTGACCGCCTCCCGCTCTCTCCCACCTAGAGTCGGCGGGCAGAATGCGGACATCCGGCTGAGCGGGCAGTTCATCGAGGAGCAGCACTGCGTCTTCCGCTGCGTCGCCTGCGAAGCGGGAGAAGGTGAGGCTCAGGGTCAGGCGCGCAGCTCCTCCCTCGGAGGGCGCCGCTGCCAGGAGGTGGTCAGGATAACCGAATCTCCTCTCCCCCTTTCTTTGTGCTTGCCCGGAGCAGGGGGTCCCGGCTACGGGACAGCACCCAGCCACAGGTATTGTCTTCTTCAGGGGTCTTACTGGACCGGGCGGGGCAGGGAGGTATCCCCGTTACGCATCCTGCCCACCCTAAGTTCCAGCTACCACCTTCTCTGTGCCTGGCCCCTTAGCCTTCGACCGGGGCTACTCAGGGGGCAGCCTGGGGGCACGTACAGCTTTTCCTCAGCCCCACGAGGTGGTGGGCTGCCTCCTGAGGACCCCGGGCCCTCATTCCCCCCACCTGTCCTTCTCTGCAGTCGTCGTCACCCTGGAGCCGTGCCCGGGGGCTGAGACGTACATCAACGGGAAGCAGGTGATGGAACCTCAGGTGCTGCGATCAGGTAGGGTTGGGGGGAGGGGCGTCCTGCCCAGGGAAAGTGGGGGGGCTGCACCTCGAGCGGGGGGCGGGGGGAATGGCCTTGAGCGAAGGCGGCTGCAGATAAAGACAGATAGAAGAGCTTCCATACAAAGATTCTTTTATTGGATTATATTAGGCATCCTCAGTGTAACTCACCGTTATGTTGAGATGCATCGAATGTCCAATTCTTTGCACAGTTGAAATCGTTGTGTAAACTGATAGTAATCTTTCTATCCCCTATTTCATCCCATAGTCATAGAATCGGGATAGAGATGCTACCACGAGGCTGTGTGATAGAAGAACTTCCATACAAAGATTCTTTTATTGGATTATATTA